CCCAGCCCTTCCTCAAACAGCCCAGCCCCTCTTGGCAACCACATGCTGAGAAACTCCAGTGCCTCTACACGGTCAGTGCCCTAGGGAGACCTGGACGTATGGAGGCCTGGGGCACTCAGGGTTCTAAGCTGGGACCTGGAGAAACCTCACCAGAACCCAGTCTGGTTGCCCACAGAAGAAAAACCCTCAGCTTTCTAGAACTTTCCAAATTCACTTTCCGATACACAATTTAACGCAAAGAGGCAAAAAAGAAAAGCAAAGAAAAAGGCGCCTTAAAAGACAAACCAGGGAACCAGAAATACAGCTGAGTGGCAGGCACTTCCAGCGCTCAGTCAGAAAGTGTCTTTAATTAAAACCCAGAAACTAAAGCACACAGGTAAGAACTGCAGAGGGGCAAGTCATGTCAGACAGGGCTGAAGAGGAAGTTAACGAGACGACACAGGAATACTGCAAAATGTCCATGGAAAAATCAGGGGGGAAAGTGCAAAAGAAACCCCAAAAGCCAAACGGTCTTTCACCACACACATTCTCCATGAACTCTTTGCAAATGCCTTGCACTCAGCATATCAGAGGGCTGATTCTGGAAGACAACTCAATAAAGAATGGGGCTGAAAAACTTGACAGTCACGCCTGAGGCTTCCACAAACTTAAGGAAAAGACAGAGGAAAACACGACCTTGGAGAATCAAGATGGCAGAATAGGATAAGGGCATGTTCAAACAGACGGAGAAACAGTGTGAAGCAGAGAGGGCACATTCCAGGAAACAGGAGAGGACAGAATGACAGCAGAGGGGCACCTGCAGACTGAGAGACACAGGACAGCAGCAGACACAACGGTGTGATGCTGCAGTGACTGATACTCCAGCAGCATTCACCGTACCAGCAGCTGGAACTCCACCAGGAACAAGGCAGGAAAGGGCCGTTCACGGGGAGATGAACCCAGACACAGAAGTGCCCATCCTGCTGGTGTGTTTGATTTGACCAGGAGTAGAGAAGGAGCAGCAGATCCCAGACGAACGTGCAGGAACAGGGTGGATTTCACAGCCCAGTCTGCCCAGTAGAACTGTAATGGGCACCATTTTGCTTAAGGAGGCAAAGGCTATAAACAGTATAAACAGCACTGTGCATGCACTAAGCTGGGAGGGAACTCATTTCTGGCTCAGTGAACTGAAACAACGTAGCATCCTTCAGGTTCCACCCAAGACAGGTACGGGTGCCCTCAGACCTGATGGCCAGCAGATCAAGAACTCCAGTAGTGGCACATTAGGCACTATTTCGTACAGTGCGGCAAAGAATTTAAGACCGTAGCTGTGCATGCGCCAAGCTCAGCGAGAACTCACTGAGCTCACTGCACTGCACTGGTCCCACATGGAAAAGAATACTGACTTTGGCATCGTACGGGTCAAAATAGGTCTGTATGACCCTCAGACCTAATGGTCAACAGGTTCTGGCCAGATCAGCACCACCAACAGCCTAGCTATATAGGACACCTGGGGTCTCCCTAATCCTGGGACCTGCTTTAACAGGAAATGGGAGAAAGGTCATACAGAAAACGGTGCAGCCTCAGCACGATATCACAGGGGGTGGAGAGTGGTGAGCCAGGAGCTGGGGCAACAGAGACCATGGTGGAAGTCCAACATAAGAACCCAGACCTAGAACTCGTTGGAGGGAGTAGCCCAAGTGACTGCAAACAGAGAGCCGTGTGCCAACTGCAATAAGTAAAACTGAACTGAAGACCTGTGGGTGACAGAGCTTAGAAACCTGCCCCAAGGAGAAAAATCTGATAACCAGAAGTACAATGACCAAGAGCAAAAGAAGAGACAGAGGCACAATGAATATTACTGAAGACTCACCTGCAAAGGAGCAAAAGCCTTTGTTAATCTCAGAGTTAACTGAGGAAAACATTGAGAAAGGCGGGGGATACAGAATTCAAAGTACTTCTTATAAAGGTTCATATCAATAACAAGAAGCACATAAAGCAGGCATTCAAGAAATTTAAGGAATATGTTACACAGGAAATGAATCAAATGAAAACTGATATATCAGAAATGAAGAATACAGTGGAACAAATTAAAAGTACAGTGGAGGGACCAGCACGATGGTGCAGTGGTTAAGGTCCTCGCACGCCTGGGATCCCATATGGGTGCGGGTTCTAATCCCGGCAGGCCTGCTTCCCATCCAGCTCCCTGCCTGTGGCCTGGGAAAGCAGTCGAGGACAGCCCAAAGTCTTGAGACCCTGCACCCGCGTGGGAGACCCAGAAGAGGCTCCTGGCTTCAGGTTGGCTCAGCTCCAGCTGTTGCGGCTGCCTGGGGAGTGAATCATCGGACAGAAGATCTTCCTCTCTGTCTCTCCTCTCTGTATATCCGCCTTTCCAATAAAAATAAAATAAATCTTAAAAAAAAAAAAAAGTACAGTGGAGAGGGCCCTGCTGTGTGGCGTGGCCTAGCGGCTAAGTCCTTGCCCTAAAAGTACAGGGATCCCATATGGGCGCCGGTTCTAACCCCAGCAGCTCCACTTCCCATCCAGCTCCCTGCTTGTGGCCTGGAGAAGCAGGACGGCCCAATGCTTTGGGACCCTGCACCCGCATGGGAGACTCGGAAGAGATTCCTGGTTCCCAGCTTCGGATCGGCATAGCACCAGCCATTGCGCTCACCTGGGGAGTGGGTCATCGGACGGAAGATCTTCCTCTCTGTCTCTCCTCCTCTCTGTATATCTGACTTTGTAATAAAAAATAAATAAATCTTAAAAAAAAAAAAAGGTACAGTGGAGAGTCTCCAAAATAGAATGGAGGAGGCAGAAGAAAGAACCTCAAAATTAGAAGATAGTTCCTGTCACTAGGAGGAAACAAACAAAAAGCTGGAAGCAGAACTGGGTCAAGATAAAAAAAGTATTCAAGAATTGAAACACACTATTAAAAGGCCAAATATAAGAGTTTATGGGATTTCAAGAAGGTGCAGAAAGGGAAACAGGATTAAACGTGTATTCAATGAAATAATAGGGGAAACTTCCCTAATGTAGAGAAACAATTTGGAAACAAGATCCAGGAGGGGCACAGAACTCCCAACAGGGTTGACCAAAAGTGATCTTCACCAAGACACATGATAATCAAGCTCTCTTCAATTGAACATAAGGAAAAGATCCTTAAATGTGCATGTGAAAAAAATCAATTGACATATAAAGGAATACCAATTAAATTCACAGGAGACCTCTCACAGGAAACTCTACAGGCCAGAGGACACTGCAGCAACATATTCCAGATTCTAAAAGCAAATATTTGTCAACCCAGCATAACATACCCAGCAAAATGTTTGTCTTTGAAAATGAAATAAAATTCTTCCACAGTAAAGTTAAAAGAATTTGCCTCTTCCAAACCTGCCCTACAAATGATACTTAAAGATGTTCTCTTGACAGAGAAAAGGAATAGCACCTACCAAAACCAAAGGCAAGTGCAAAGACATCCCAGTAAAATAACAACAGAAGACTAAACAATGAACAACCCATTGCTAAAATGACAGGATCAAAGTATCACCTATTCATATTAACCCTGAATGTAAATGGCTTAAGCTCAATCAAACATCATAGATTAGTAGACTGGATTAAAAAAACAAAACCCATCTATTTATTGCCTATAGGAGATACATCTCACCAACAAAGATCAACAGAAACTGTATCTCACGGATTTTGATTTTTTTTTCTCTGCGAAACATTTTCTTCTGATCAAATTCTTCAGTGACTCATAGATCATACAGTGGCAGCATTTTCTTCAAAAAGGTTCTTGATTTTCAGCAGCACACTGGTCATTCAGTAACATGTTATTTAACTTCACGGTGTTGTTAATTTCTTTTTTTTTCCTTCTGTTGATTTTGTTTTGCGGCTTTTCATTTAGGGGGATGTGTAATAGCTGTGTAATGGAGACTATCATATCCAGATGTGAGGAAACAATGCAGTATGCATCTCTACTTACAGACAAAGATGGACTCCCAATGAAATTGTTAAATATATCTTGACAATAGGATGGTCTGTCTGCCACTGTCTGTGCCTACAATGATAGATTTATGACTGCTTATGAAGAACTATACTATAGTATATGCATGTCATTTAACTTCATGGCATGTAAATTTCTATTTTTCTTCCTGTTGCTGATTTTGTATTGTGGCTTTCTCATTTGGGGGGGATGTATAGTAACTGTGTAATGGAGACTATCATATCCAGATGTGAGGATACATGCAGTATGCATCTCTACTTCCAGACAAAGATGGACTCCCAATGAAACTGTTTGCTATACAACAATAGGATGATGGACTCTCTGCCGTTGTCCATGCCTGCAGTGATGGACATATGACTGAGTATGAAGAACTATACTGTGGTAATGATATAGGGGAACTCAGTGAAGAGGGAGGGATTGGGGAGGAGATGGAGGAAATCCCAGGGCCTATGGGACTGTGTCACAAAGTGATAATGATGAAAAGAAGCAAAATTTTAAACAAAAATTCCAAAACCAAATTACTCGACCACCTGTATAAGCAATGTACACATTCTGGAAACTGAGCGTTTTAATTTCAGGAAGGCTCTGTCACCCTCGTTTTGCAAAGTGCCCATCATTGTGCTTCCTCACAGAGGATTTAAATATCACAGATGTATTCACTTGCTTGTCTACCCTCATGAGTGTCCACTACCGCCAACGGCCCACTGACCCACCACTGGTTTTCATTTTCTTATCAACTTCCATGAATTACTTTTATTTAAGACTAACAGCCTTTTAAGTATCACAGTTTCCAATAGTATCTCATTTATCTTTATTTTTATATTGTTCTCTGCTGTGTAATTTTACATTTTTTGATTGTAAGTACATTAAGTGCTACAACAATTACACAGCAAAAACCTACCCACCTCAGCTCTTTCTGATCACACTGGAAAAAGGGTTTTCAAGAACCACGAGATTTATGATCATTTCATTATTCAACTAACAAACACTGTAAGCAAAACAAAGAGCTACTTACCGAATCCAGAAAGCAAAGGTAAGATCCTGAGCTCTGCGCAATGGCTTGATTTTTAGAATATCCGACTGTGGAGAAGATAAAAAAAGAACTTCTTTCATAATTCAATTTCAACAGCATTCTTTCACAAAGCTTAATATACTATGTACTGGGGCCCAGAACAGTGGCAAAGTAGCTAAGGTCCTCGCCTTGAACGTGCCGACATCCCATATGGGTGCCAGTTCTAATCCCGGCAGCTCCACTTCCCATTCAGCTCTCTGCCTGTGGCCTGGGAAAGCAGTTGAGGATGGCTCAAAGCCTTGGGACCCTGCACCCGTGTGGGAGACCTGGAAGAGCTCCTGGCTTTGGATTGGCGCAGCACCGGCCATTGCGGTCACCTGGGGAGTGAATCATCAGACGGAAGAACTTCCTCTCTGTCTCTCCTCCTCTGTATATCTGACTTTGCAATAAAAATTTTATATATACATATATATATAGATAGATAGATATACACACACACTTTCAGGAATCTAGGGAAAATGTTGTATGTCCCAGCAAAAATCAAGTCAGCTTTCTAAGAAACGAGAGGGAAGTGGGTGGGAGCTGGCATCCTATACTGGTAACCAGCAGCAGTGTAAGATTCTCACAGCTTACAGGACGCGCTTCTGGGGAGAAAGCCAACTTAGACACTTGCTGAGTCCTATAAACCTCAGTGTCCCAGAAGGAACCCGAGGGTACATGCTGAGGTCAGGCTCTGCTGAACTAGTGGGGTGGTTGTTACACACTTGATGATGGGCAGTTACTGCCAGGGCCGACATGCACACCCAGCTCTGGGCACGACGTCTGCCCCCTGGTGCAGACCTGCAGTCACCCAGAGGAGCAGCAGCATCGTTAAGAACCCAAAAGTGTGACTAACAAGGTTACGCATTTAAGGTGAACGTGCAGCTCTCCTAGAGAAGGGGTTGCCAATAGCTGAATTGCATCAACCAAATGGACAGATGTGTCTGCATACACAACAGCAGATCCTTGGCATTCTTCTCCCATCAGAGGACCACCCTGTCTTCTGGCACTGATGTGATCTGGTGGCAAGCAGTGGAGCAACACAACCCCCACTCTGGTCACAGGAGGAAGGATGGGGTCTTCTCCCTGACCCACCTTCCAACTCTCATCCAGAGACATGCACTGGTCTGCAACTCCCTCACCTACGTAACAAACATTTTAACAATGAATAAATCTTAAGAATATGCTAAAGAAACTGGTATTCAGCATTGGGACAGTGTCCTCCCCTCCCCCCAACAAAGGGGCCTTAGCCAAGCAGGCTTCTCAGCACACTCCCAGCACTCCCTGGGTGCCTGGCATCCACAGGCAGGAGGGGCAGCAGGGCAGGAGGGTAGGGGTCCTTGCCACCTGCTTGTGCTGCTCCTGGTGGCATGGAGAACCACAGGGATAACACTGCAAGGAGATGAGATACACAGCCGCGCTCTCATATTTGCAAACTCCAGCCCAGAGGGGTGCCTGTTTGGGGATGGAGCTTTTCTGCTTGTTTGTTTGTTTTGTGTTTTTAATTGGAAAGTAAGATATACAGTGAGGAGGAAAGACAAAGAGGAAGATCTGCCATCCAATGGTTCACTCCCCACATGGCCACAATGGCCAGAGCTAAGCTGATCCAAAGCCAGGAGCCTCTTCTTAGTCTCCCACGCAGGTGCAGGGTCCCAAGGCTTTGGGCCGTCCTCAAATGCTTTCCCAGGCCACAGGCAGGAGCTGGATGGGAAGCAGGGCCCCCAGGGACACAGACCAGCACCCTATGGGATCCTAGTGCGTGCAAGGTGAGGACTCTGGCCACTAGGCCACCACGCAGGGCCCTGGGGAGAGAGGTTCTTACAAAGCAGCGGCTTATCTTCCTAGCTAGCAGAAGGATCCCAGCTACCAACAGGAGCAAGACAGAGCTCAGCCCTGGAGGAGCAGCAGCCAGCACACCACAGCTGCAGCAAGAATGCCTCCTGACAAGCACACTCAAAGCAGCTCCTGCTGGGAAGAGATTTCCACCCAGAAATAAATAGTTCTGCCTTAATCAGTGGCCAGACACTGATGAACAGAAAAACCCCAATCTGAATGTGAGGAGGAGGAAGACAGCTTACCAAGGAAAGCTGCACACTTTCTCACATTCAATCTTGTGTTTGGCAAAGACAAGGGATTTGCTTGGATAATATTTCCCTCAGGAAAGTTAAATGTTTGTGCCCAGGGCGCCCTGTGCTGGGAGGCCGGTCCTCCTCAGGGCAGCATCACCATGACAACAGGAGGGCCTGGGGTCTGGGCGGGCAGGAGGGATATTAACATTCTTTACTCTGGGGAAGGGTGCGGGGCCGCATTTGATTTTGATTTTAGCCAAATGACTACACTACTAAGAATCTGCTCTATTATACTATGAAATCATAACAAGGCAATGTTAATCCACTTTAAATAACTTGCACTCATGATAACAGACACCGGGCTTGTTTTCTCTAGTTTTCTGATTAGAGAAAACATCATTACAGGAAATATATCCTTTCAGACACACACCAACTGCCCCATTTTATTAATGTGACCCAGTTTCCCATGAATCACCCTGACCAAGCTCCAACAGAAAGCAAAGTGACCTCAGCCCTTCACAATTTTGTAACAGATAATATTGTCACAGATAAAATACGTACAACTAGGATACAGGTCAGCAAAATGCTAGATCATTAAAAACATTTTCTGAAAAAAAAATCTGATTTTGAAATGGACATTAGTCAAGCACTGTTTCAACGTGCTCTCAGTTAAAGGCGTGAGGTGTTAAATGTGAAAGGATGTTTGTACTCCTTCCAGACCAGCTTGTTATCATGCACAAGTTGAGACAGATGCTCCATGAGAGTCCATTTGCAGAGTTTTCCATTTCATGGAAATTGAAATTGAAAAGAAAAACAAGAAATAATGTTGGGAAAAAACAGTAACACCTTCTGGCTGATGAAGACTTGATGACATAATGACCACCTGGGACTGCACTGGCGCCCGCGTCTGTCCCAGATGCCCCATCCCTCTACACACTCAGAGACCGGAACTCACTGCTGGAGCCTGTGTCTACGCGAGGAAACGGAGGCACAAAGAAAGGCCACTGACAACAAGGCCTTCCTCTGCTCAAGTCAGAGCTCCGTGCCCTCCCAGGGCCCCAAGAGCTGCAGGAATAAGACAGGGTCCTGCTGCCCGTGCCCTCTCACCAGGTGGGGGGATGCCGTGGCAACAGCCCATCGGCTCTTACGGGAGCTTTTCAAAACAGATGTTTCTTTTCCTAAAGAACCAAGCTTTAGGGCCCAGCACGGTAGCCCAGTGGCTGAGGTCCTCTCCTTGCACTTGCCAGGATCCCATATGGGCACCAGTTGTATCCTAGTGGCCCCACTTCCCATCCAGCTCCCTGCTTGTGGCCTGGGAAAGCAGTGGAGGATGGCCCAAAGCCTTGGGACCCTGTACCCACATGGGAGACCCTGAAGAAGCTCCTGGCTCCTGACTTCACATCAGTTCAGCTCGAGCCATGCGGCCACTAGAGGAGTGATCTTCTCTGTCTTATATATCTCATACATTATCTTATACATCTTATATATATATCTTCCTCTCAGTCTTATATAGATCTTCCTCTCTCTATATATATACCTTGCTTTCCAATAAAAATAAATAAAATCTAAAAAAAAAAAAAAGAAAAAGAAAAAAGAAATACCAAGCATTAAAAAGTACTATTTAAGGGCTGGCATTGTGGTGTAGTTGGTGAAGCTAACCCTGTGATGCCACATTCCATATGGATGCCAGCTCATGTCCCGGCAGCCCCACTTCTGATCCAGCTCCCTATTAAGGATCTAGGCAAACACTGGAAGATGGCCCATATGTTTGAGGCCCTGCCACCCATGAGGACGCCTGGGTGAAGTTTCTGCTCTGGTCCGGCTCAGCATTGGCTGCTGCAGCCATATGGGAAGCAAAGCAGTGAATAGAAAGCCTTTCTTCCTCTGGTTTTCAAAATAAATCTTTTTAAAAGATTTATTGGAAAGTCAGACATACAGCAAGGAGGAGACAGAGAGGAACATCTTCCGTCCGATGATTCACTCCCCAAGTAGCTGCAACGGCCAGAGCTGAGCCAATCCTAAGCCAGGAGCCAGGAGCTTCTTCCGGGTCTCCCACACAGGTGCAGGGTCCCAAGCTTTTGGGCCGTCCACAACTGCTTTCCCAGGCCACAGGCAGGGAGCTGGAAGGGAAGCGGGGCTGCCGGGGTTAGAACCTGCACCCATATGGGATGCTGGCACATTCAAGGCAAGGACTTCAGCTGCTAGGCCACTGCGCAGGGCCCTGAACTTTTTAAAGTAGCTTCACGTTTGCACATTTTTTTCACATCTGATGTGAAAACATTAAAGTCAAACTAAAGGCACAACTGCAATAAAAAAATGCAAAGCTAATCACTCAATATAAAAACAGAAGATGGATGAAAACACATATACCTCAACCTGGCATCCTGAAATCTCAAAATTCAAAAGCATGATAAATCTGAATCATGTTCAGAAACGGAACCTGTAAAATAACACGTCAGATCTTTTTCTAGAAATACAGAAGACAAATCAGTTAAACGTCCAAGAAAAAATTTTTGTACGCAGAATTCTACCCCAAGCCCAACTGTCAGGGAGCCGGCACTCTGGCTGCTCCTCACGGCACTGCCACCCCACATCACACGTCCCACCTCTGTCCGAGCTCCCTGCTGACCACCTGTGGAAGCCCACAAGCAGATCCAGAGCCTTGCTGCTGAGTTAAGCCTGGCTGGCCTGAGGCATTCAAGTGAACTAGTGGGTAAAACAATCTCTCTTTGTACCTCATCTGTAACATTTTCAAGTAAGTAAATATAAAAAGGCATTGTGAGACACATAAGAGTTCTATTTTACCATCTGTATCCCACAGAAGTATTAAAGATGTATTCCAAAAACAAACAAAAAGTGACAAATACAAAAAGCACTATTTTTTTTTTAAAGATTTCTTTTATTTGGAAGGCAGATTTGAAGAAGAGAGAAAGGTATTCCATCTGCTGGTTTGCTTCCCAAATGGCTGCAACAGCCAGAGCTGAGCTGAGCTGAGCTGAGCTGAGCTGAAGGCAGGAGTCGGGAACTTCTTCAGGGTCTCCAACGTGGGTGCAGGGTCCCAAGGCTTTGGGCTATTTTATGCTGCTTTCCCAGGCCACAGGCAGGGAGCTGGACGGGAAGCAGAGCAGCTGGGACAAGAAGTGCCACTCAGATGGATTCAGGCACATTAGCAGGGAGCTGGACGGGAAGTGGAGCAGCTGGGACAAGAAATGCTACTCATATGGGATTCAGGCACATTAGCAGGATAGGAAGTGGAAATGTTGGCACAAGAAGTGCTACACAGGCAGAGAACTAGTGTGCTGTGTTGGCCCCAAAGAAAATTATTTTTAACTATAATTTTATGTTTAATATTGCTTAAATAATTGAGAGGGATGCACACCATGTGAGCCTTCAGTTAGGGTGGGAAAGATGGAGGTACGGTGGGAGGTGGGTGGGACAAATGCTTCAGTTCTTTTTTCTCTCTCCAGTGAGGCAGCCACTCTTTGCTATCCAACTACATCAGTACCTGGGGATGGGGGACAGTCATTTGATGTCTTAAGAGACCTAGATGTGGGGGAGAACATTCCAAGGGAGTTACTCGAATGATTTTCAGAGTTCTAAGACAACATCGGCTGTGTTACACCAGAGTTGAGAAAATCCCTCCAAAGTCCATTGGCTAACAGTCCACCTCAGTGCAACCACAGATCCAGACACCTGCTGCCAGGCTTGGCCAGGAGAGTTGTCCAACCTGTTCTGCTTTCCATCCTTTACTAGCCTAGATGAGCTGGCTGTCCTGTGCCTCTGAACATGCTGTCCACCACACAGGCATCACCAACTCAGGAGGCCCAGTCCCAACACATGTACTCCAACATGTGATCTTCCCTGCAGCCAGGTTTTGAGTCCAGCCATCCAGCTGGGGAGTCCCTCAGGAAATCTCATCTGGAGTGACTTTCGATTTCACTCTGTGTACATCAACCAATGCATATACTGGTGAATGCAGCTGCCTGGTCAATTCCATCCCCAGCCCCAGGTGCAATGGCTCAGCCCAGCCTACCACAAGTTTGGGCTTCACAAACAACAGTGGGAGACCCCCAATAACCCCCACTAGGCCCATCAAGCCCTGTGTTTTGCACAGGCTGGCTTGTGCCAACCCGCACGCTGACTCTCATGTACATCCATAGGTGCTATGGCCTAGCTCAGCTTGACCAGATGCCAGCCTTGCCCACACATATGCTGATGGGTCCTACTGCCTTCTCCAGCCTGAGCTGCCCCAGCCCTGGTTCTTGGGCTACCAAGCAGGTATAGCCTAGCAGGGAAGTTCCTCTGCCCAAGACCTTGCACTTGCCAGGGGGTACTACAGTCCAGCCTCACACCACTCACACCCAGTCCCAGCACTTGTCAGCTAGCCTGGCCAGCCTGTACCCATTTTGGTTTTCCCACACAACAGCAAGTACGATAGCCTAGCCCAGTCTGGCCTACCCCCAGAACCAGCCCACATGCATGCCAATGGGGGCACCCCGAGCCCCGGCTCTTGCACTCACCAGTGGGAGCCACAGCCTAGCAGGGGAGGCCACAACCCAAAGTTCCTCCCCCACCAGACCCATTCCCAGCCCCAGATCTTGCACATGTTAGATCTAGCCTGGTGTGGCCCACCCTCAATCTCAGTTCTTCCCAGAGAGTACTGTAGTCCCACCTGGTGTGGCCCTCACCCCATCCTGGTTCTCATGTGTATCACCAAGCGCTACAGCTTAGTCAAACCAGCTTGCTCCCAGACCCAGCTCACACATGCCAAGTGCTGCAATCTAGCCTGGCTTGACCTGCTCCCAGACCTAGCTTTCATGCTTACCAGCCACTGCTGCAGCCTAGCTGAGGAGTTCTTCAAGTTATCCAACCAGGCTTGCGCCCAGCCCTGGACCTCATGTAATGCTAGCGGGTGTCACGACCATGCTTAGCATGGTCTGCCCTCAGTCCCAGTCTTTGTGCCAGTAGATGTTGCAGTCTAGCTTCCTCTCAGCTCTGGTTCCCATGAGTGAGTTCCACAATCCAGCTTGGCTTGGCCTGTCACCATCCCTAGCTCTTGTTCTGCAGTCCCAGAGACGAGCACACAAATCCCATAGAGTATCTGCTGCTAGATTCTGTTCTCACATTCCAGTGGCTGTGGCAGCCCAGCCCGACATGACCCACCCCCTACCCCAACCCTCACAGATGGGTACTGAGGCCTAGCCGAGCCAGCATGCCCCCAAGCCCCAGCTTTTGTGTGCACTGGCAGGAGGTGGGCGATGCTACTTAGCCCAGGCCAGGTCTCTCATGTGGGTGGGTGTCTTGGCCTTACCAACACATATCCTCCAGATGCCCCGTCTAAACCACCCTGTCTCAGTTCCTTTATCTACCTGTGAGTGCAGCAACTCAGTCCATGGAAGCCCCCAAAAGTCACTCCTTCCTTATCAAATGTATCCTCAGTAGTCCCCACCCCAACACGTCCCCATGACCCCCTTCTCTGGGTACCTGCTCCCTCACTGCCCAGTGGCACATAGCATGCCTGGGGGACAGGGCCGCATGTCTCAGCCTGGTGCTCCCCGCCTTCCCCGTATATCTTATAACAAGAAAAATTAAATAAGAACAGGTAACTGTGCTGGCACTGGTATAGTTAACACAGATTTGCCATTAGCCAGGCCAGAAAGCCCTCCAGCTGTTAGCTGCTTTTCTTCCAGCACTATAACATTCGCCTAGGCACAAGGCAACTGGGCAGTTGCACATAGCTGGGGTAAGAAAACTATTTTTAAAAGAGAAAAGAAGGGCCCTGCGCAGTGGCCTAGCAGCTGAAGTCCTTGCCTTGAACACATCGGCATCCCATATGGGCGCCGGTTCTAATCCCGGCAGCCCCACTTCCCTTCCAGCTCCCTGCCTGTGGCCTGGGAAAGCAGTTGTGGACGGCCCAAAAGCATGGGACCCTGCACCTGCGTGGGAGACCCGGAAGAAGCTCCTGGCTTAGGATTGGCTCAGCTCTGGCCGTTGCAGCTACTTGGGGAGTGAATCATCGGACGGAAGATGTTCCTCTCTGTCTCTTTTCCTCTCTGACTTAGCAATAAAAATAAAATAATAATAATAATAATAATAATAATAATGAGAGAAAAGAAAAAAGCCAAACAACGGCACATGACAGAAACCCAGAGGGAGAGGACAGAGCTGGTTCTCACTTGTTTCATGAATTCTGACTTGGAGAACTCACTGGGCAGCAGATAACTGCCCACTCACTGCTCATCCTGCACCAAGGGATGCACACTCCGTGGCTGCTGTGAGGAAACACAGGCCTGGCACCTGAGATTTCACTCACAGGAGCCCTGGGATGCTGACCAAACCAAGGAGGTCATGACAGAGGCAGCTGGGAAGACACTGGCCACCTGCCAGGTGGAAGGAGGACAGACAGCCAGGACGAGCCTCCTGAGTGAAGCCGGAACAGATCTCAAACACAGCCCACAGGAACTAACCCTGCAAAAGACCCCAAAGACAACAGAATCACTGTGAAGCAATGTATAGCCCAGGACACTGCTGAAAACAAGAGACTGGCACTGTTGTAGCGAGTAAATCCATGCCTCTGTCACCAAGTTTTCCGTTCCTGTTGCTCTACTTCCAATCCAGCTTTCTGCTGGGTGGCCTGGAGAGCAGCGGAAGGCAGCCCGAGTCTTGCTTGCACCCCTGTCCCCATGTGGAAGATGCAGAGAAAGCCCCTGCTTCAACTGGGCTCATCCCTGCCGCTGCAGCCACCGGGTGAGTGGGCGGCGAGAGGCCGTGATCATGACGCAACAGAGCTTCATCAAAGAACAGGAGTCCAGGTCCAGTGGGTCCCTAAGCTTTGGCACACTGAACCACCACCAGTACCTGGACAACAGCGATCTACCCAAAGACGCGCGGTGAGGGGAGCCAGGGCTATCAAGGAGCTGAACGTGCAACTCACCTCCCCGGGGAGAAGGGGAACTGTGTCCTCCAACAACCACCTGGATCCCAGCGTCTTCCAGCTTCTCCTTCCACTTCTCGATGATGGCCATAGACCTGTCCTGAAAACAATGTCCACAGTTCAGGAACCTTCTTCGCAGCAGTCTGACACCTTTCTCGCCAGTCCTTAATCACTCCAGAAGTTGTAAATACCTGGCTGGCATCGTTAAAGACTGAGAGTTCCATGGTCCCTTCAAAATCCTGCTGCAAAACAGACTTCAAACACTCATTCAACCAGGGCTCGGCATTGTACACCGGCAGGATGATGGACTAGAATTCAAAATACACAGATTAACAAACAGAAGACCCTTTCAACCATCCCACATCCCCTTCACCATCTACACAGTGCTCACTTCCAGCGAGCAGTCTGACTTGCAAGCTATCAAGAAGGAAAGCACAAGACCCAGTTAACAAAAGGAGCCTCTCCCCTCTCCCAAAGCTCTTAGCACTTGTGTCAGGAGCAGGCACTGCAGTACGGGGGTTAGGCCACCACTTGAGATGCTGGCATGCTATACCGTGATGCCACATTGAGTCCCACTGCTTCACTTCCACCCCAGCTCCCTGCTAGTGCACTTGACAAGGCAGCGGACAATGACACCGCTACCTGTGTGGAAGACCCAGGGTTCAGCCTGGCTCAGCCTGTTTGCAGTCATGTGGGAGGAAACCAGCACATGGGCCTTTCCTTCCTCCTCTCTTTGTAAAGACTTTGTGTTGTTGTTGTTATAGAGAAACAAACAGATCTCCCATCTGCCTACAAGAACCAGGCTGTGCTGGTCTAAAGTTGGGAGCCGGGAGCTTCTTCCAGGTCTCCCACATAGGGGAGGCCCAAGGACTTGGACCACCCTCACTGTTCTCCAGGCCTTAGCAGGGAGCTGGATCAGAAGCAAAACGGCTGGGACATGAACTGGCACGCACATGGAGAAGGCTTAGCCTGCTATATCATGCCACCAGCCCCAATAACTTTTTTTTTTTAAGATTTATTTTTATTGGAAAGGCAAATTTACAAAAAGAAGATACAGAGAGGTATTTGCGACTGCAATGACTGGAGCTGAGCCATTCCGAAGCCAGGAGCCAGCCTTCCTGGTCTCCCACGTGTGTGCAGGGTCCCAAGGCTTTGGGCCGTCCTCGACTGCTTTCCCAGGCCACAAGTAGGGAGCTGGATAGGAAGCGGGGCTGCTGGGATTAGAACCGTATCTATATGGGATGCCGGTGTGTCAAGGTGAAGACTTTAGCCACTAGGCTACTGTGCTGGGCGCACTCTGAGATTCAGATTTTTCTTAAGTGATCTTTCAGATATCCTTGCAAGGGAGAAAAATCTGAAAGGCACCAAGTCTCCCAGCTAGATCCCTGCATTTCAACTTTAATGCAGAATAACATCATTCAATATGAAATAAGCTGTGAGGTCTTCAACCTACAGCTGAAAATAACTTACTGGTCCTTCTACAGGTGAAATAAGCATTAACAAATTAATCTTACAGAACTGGCAAAAAGTGTCCCCCTCCCCCGTACCACTGTGACAGCACTGCCTGTGCCCCGCGGTGTGGCACCGCCCTTACAGGGGCGTGACAAGGTATGCAAGTGCCACCCCCATGCCATCACAAGCCAGGGTGCCAGGTGAGTCCTCTGATGTACTCAGATTCAGCTGATCTGGCAAACAATACTGTTGTGTTCTTGGAGCCCCCACAAATAAAACAGACTTCAAACTTTTGTAGAATAGTCAATGAAATCTGATTACCACTCAAAACAAGCAAGTAGCTACATCTTACTCATTAAGCAAGCAGAACCACCACTGAAATGAGCCTGCCCTCATCCTGGAGTACCTTAACCAAGAAAAGCAGACAAGCTCCTAGACATGAAAGGAGCACAGCCCAGCTTAGGGTTAACAGCCTTGGCTTCTGGGTAGAGCAAACTCCCCCAGCTCTCTGCTAATGCCCCAGGGAGCACCCCTACCTCCCTAACACCCCACCTGCAGAGGGCGCACCCCTACCTCCCTAACACACACAGAGGGAGCACCCCTACCTCCCTAACACCCGCCCGCAGAGGGACACCCCTACCTCCCTGCTAACACCCCACCTGCCGAGGGAGCACCCCTACCTCCCTAACACCCGCCCGCAGAGGGAGCACCCCTACCTCCCTGCTAACACCCCACCTGCCGAGGGAGCACCCCTACCTCCCTGCTAACACCCCACCTGCCGAGCGAGCACCCCTACCTCCCTAACACCCACAGAGGGAGCACCCCTACCTCCCTAACACCCGCCCGCAGAGAGAACACCCCTACCTCCCTGCTAACACCCCGCCTGCAGAGGGAGCACCCCTACCTCCCTGCTAACACCCCACCTGCCGAGCGAGCACCCCTACCTCCCTGCTAACACCCCGCCTGCAGAGGGAGCACCCCTACCTCCCTGCTAACACCCCACCTGCCGAGGGAGCACCCCTACCTCCCTAACACCCGCCCTCAGAGGGAGCACCCCTACCTCCCTAACACCCGCCCTCAGAGGGAGCACCCCTACCTCCCTGCTAACACCCCGCCCTCAGAGGGAGCACCCCTACCTCCCTGCTAACACCCCGCCTGCAGAGGGAGCACCCCTACCTCCCTGCTAACACCCCACCTGCCGAGCGAGCACCCCTACCTCCCTAACACCCGCCCGCAGAGGGAGCACCCCTACCTCCCTGCTAACACCCCAGGGAGCACCCCTACCTCCCTGCTAACACCCCACCTGCCAAGGGAGCACCCCTACCTCCCTAACACCTGCCCGCAGAGGGAGCACCCCTACTTCCCTGCTAACACCCCACCTGCCGAGGGAGCACCCCTACCTCCCTAACACCCGCCCGCAGAGGGAGCACCCCTACCTCCCTAACACCCGCCCTCAGAGGGAGCAGGTCACCCGATGTTCCTTGATTCCTACAGGGACTGACTTCCTGCCTCAGCCATTGGGAGCATTTGAGGAGTAACCCAGCAAATCTCCTTTATTCACATAAATCTTTTTTATGGTAGGTTTGTGGAAACGGAATTTAGGCTTATTTTGGCACAAATTTTAAAATCATTGCAATGTTTTCATAATACGCATTTTCCACAAACTACCTTAAAATCTGCAAGTCTATGCATACAATAGATATAATTTTTAAAATACTAAATCCAAATACGTTTAGGAAAAAATTCAAGAGTGTTGAAAACACAGCTCCGTTTCTTTACCAACAATATGAAGATCTGACAGCAATTTTGCACTCCCAGATATACATTTGTATCCATAAAATTAGTCCCCAATTTACAGCTGTTTTGCTTTGGACTCACTTTACATATCTGTGTATATGTATGCTTTAGGTATTCTACAGCAGAGACAGATGCTCCATCCCCCTGCAACAGCCACAGCGGGTCTCCCACGTGGGCAGGCCACCACCTGCTGCTTCCCCAGGCCTGCGTTAGCAAAAGGGGGATATGGAGCTGCACAAGTGGTTCGAATCCAAGCACCCCAACCCCTCGGCGCGGGATGTAGGTGTCCCGAGCGGCGAATTGGCCTGTACTTTTCTTAAAACTCTCTACACCACCTGGCTTACTCTCTGCCTCCCCGCGGCTGAGCGCCTCGGGCTCCGGGGAGGGCGCGCTGCCCGAGGCTCCAGCCCTGGAGAGGCGGCCGGGCCCCCCGGCTTGGCACGGGGGAGCCGACCCCGGCCTGGCATGGGGGAGCAGACCCTGGGGCTGGCACGGGGGGAGCCGGCCCCGGCCTGGCACGGGCGCTAGCACAGGGGGAGCCGACCCGACGCCCGAGGCCCGGAGGGGCCGAGCCGGGGACGCCTCACCTACCACGACGCACTGCGCCCCGCGAGCCCGCATGGCGGCCGCTCTCCTCAGGACGCTCCTCGGCCGGGCGCGCGCGCGGCGCCGGGAGGAGGGACACGGAGGGAGCCGGCCGCCCCCATTGGTGCAGAGCCCTGTCGCTCCGCGGGCCGGCTCCTGTGGAAGGCGCGCGGTCCCGCCGGTGGGACGGGCACTTCCAGTCTGACGGCCTTGGACGGTCCGGGAGCCGGCCGAGGGTCGACGTACATCGGGCAGCGCCTCGGGGAGAACAGGGGGACGGGGCAGCTCCGCGGGGTGCGGGCTGCGAGTGCAGGGGCGCGCATAGGGTCTGGGCAGGAGCGAGCGCGCTGCGCGCAGTGCACGCGCAATCCCTGTGGCCTCCATCCTCGGTCAGCACCTCCGTCCTGGGTCAGCTGGGTGCTGTGCGCGCCTCAAGCCGCCTTCTCTCAGGTGGTCGGTCAGCTAATCCACCTGACTCCTGCCGCCTCAGAAAACTGGAAGGTCAGCGGAGCAGCACGTGCGCAGCCAGAGCCCCACCTGGGTGGCCCTGGTGGGGACTGGCCCGGGAGAGTGAGGCTGCTGTGGAGGTGGGCGGGTCTGGGGGTGCTGATGTCTGGCTCAAGGTTCCCACCGCGTCCGGAGTGAGCGTTCCTGCCAGCCATACTCCCTCACTGTCCATGCAGATGCCACATACAGCTTCCCAGAGAGGAGCTGGGACACCAAACACTCCAGTGTGAGCACCACCTCACCTGCAGCATCTTTGTTCCTTTAAAATTTTACTTCTTCTTTTTTTAATATGTATATTTATTAGAAAAGTAGATCAGATTTACAGAGAAGAGGAACAGAAAGATCTTTTCATCCACTGATTCATTCCCAAAGCGGCCGCAGCAGCCGGAGCTGTGCCCATCCAAAGCCAGGAGCCAGGAGCCTCTCAGAGCTCCCACCTGGATGCAGGGTCCCAACGCCTTGGGCCGTCCTCCACTCCCTTCCACAAGCAGGGAGCTGGATGGGAACTGGGGCTGTGGGACAGGAACCGGTGCTCATATGGGATCCCGGCACCTGCAAGGTGAAGATTTGGCCATGGAACCATCACGCTGGCCCCTTTGTTCCTTTAGTGTAACCTAATTTCAGATTTTTGGACAGATAGAAATCATTAGGTCAGATGAGTGGAGAGCTGCCTTGTTGCAGATGAAAGCTTTTTGCAGAATTTAGCTGTTTCTTGGGGATTGGTGTACTACAAATGGTTTCACTTCATCTCCTTGTAACCAGTGGCACTGTGGCCATCACGTGCCGGTACTGGGGCCCAAGATAAGAGGTGGAGGGTAGCAGCTGCAGCTGGCCTGAGCCCCGCCTCCTTGCCTCAGGCATTCAGAAGTAGGCTTGGCCGCTTGGGTCCTCTTCCTGTGCATCGTTTACTGCCAGAAATGGGCTTTTCACTGCCTTTGCCCAGCACAAATGTGCTTAGAATGTCCTTTTCTGCCAACATTTGGAGAACCAAGGGGCACTTCAGCAATGCCAGACTCTATTCAGTTGGGGTTCCAAAGCCTGCGGGTCTATAGTTTCTCCTCTCACTCTAGAAAGAACCTGAGCAAAGCCCAACAGGGGCCTAGGCCCCAGTACTGGGAGGGACAGGAAGTGAGACGCGGGGGCTGGTGTCTGCTGGATTGAGATTGTGTGGTCTTAAATCAGGGAAGTGAGGTCACCATGAAAGATGAACCGAGTCACAAGGATCGCTGGTGGAGACTGGCTGTACTCAGTACTGGCTGTACTGGGCTGTACTGCCCAGGCATGGGACGGCTTGCAGCGCCATGCTCACTCAGATGCTGGATTATGAGTTTCAAGGAGCTGATCGGGTCTCAGTCTCTACCTGAGCAATGAGAAAAGGTGCGCATATGAAAAGCCTGCCGGGGACCCACAGATGGTGCCAAAGGAAGGAATGGCTGTTTCCAGACAGAACCACCTGCTGCCACCTCCTTAGGTTCCCTGGTCTCTTTCTGTTACTGCAACCCAAACTAAGCCCAAGGCCTCCAAGTTTAAGACCTGCACCACAGCCTTTTTTTTTTTCTTTTAAAATGTTTATTCATTTTACTTGAAAGAGTTATAGAGACAGAGAGCTCTTCCATCCGCTGTCTCACTCCCCACATGGCCGCAATGGCCAAAGCTGGGCCAGTCCAGAGCTAGGAGCCAAGAATGTCTGCAGGCCTCCTATGTGGATGCAGGGCCCAGTCCTCCGGGACTTTTCCAGGTCATAAACAAGAAACTAGATGGGAAGCAGAACAGCTGAGAAATGAACCAGTGTCTATATCAGACAGGTTGTTAAAGGTTTGCTAAAACTCCCCATATAATCTAATGGGTTGCAGCTCATCAGACTAAGGACAGCCTACGTGTGAGCAGAGCATTGCAGAGAGGATCCCAGGAGTTCCTGTTTCAGCAGCAGGTGTTCCTGTGCGGAAGTTATGTGCCACAAGGAAGTCCCATGTGCCCTAAGGGGAATGAGTCCCTCCACAGTGGGTACCAGACCAAGGAGTCGCCCAAATGTCACTGCCATTCCCAACCACCAGAAGAGAGTCGGCCCATTGAGTTCCAAATAGCACCCAAGGGACAGAGAAACAGGTAGGGGCGCCCATCTTTCCCTTCTCCCCCAGTGGTACTCACTGACCCCCACCAACCCAGGGCATACTCTTGGAGGGTTCCCAGCTTGGTGCAGTTGTAGCCGAGACACATTTTGGAAGTGAACCAAAGGAGCTTGCTCACACTGTTTCTCAAATTTTAAAAATGTGAAAGATCCTACCCAGCTGTTGCCTTGTCTGAGGCAATTCACAGCAATGTCTATTGAAGTTATTGTTCTATCAATCTGCAAATTCAGGAATTCTGGAAAGAAGACCCCATGTTTGAACTGAGCATTTCCTAAACTCCAGGTCCTTTACCTATGTACAGGACTACCCGGAAGCTGACCCTACCGTGCTGCAGGACAACGCAACTACCCGAAAGCCAGACTCTCCCTGGACCTGCAGCACGGCTGATGAAAAGTCGCCTCCACCCCGTGTAGGACATCAAGGCTGGGGTGGGAGTCTCCTGTGTCAGGAGGCACTTGGTGAGCAGTGTGGCAGATGCCCACATGAGCACTGGGTGCCTCACAGAATCGTTGTCCTGGCAGTGACCTACCAGCAACTAAGAGTTCAACGTGGTAGCCTCTGCCAGCAATTCCCAAAAATACAATCCGAGTGTCTCCCATGTATTAAGGGCACATGTTTGCAAGACTCGCCAGCAGGTTTTGTACATTCTTAGGTGCATATGTGCTGGACGAAGATATTATTAAAAATAAGACAGCCCGGTTAAAGTTGAAGAAAGTTTACTTAAGCAAGAAAAAGGTTCTAGAGCAAGGCAAGGCTCCATGGGTGACTACTCACATCTCAGCTCGCTTTGGTGCCCATTGGGCTTACAGTCAGGAGGGGCCAACACAGTGCCGTAGCAAGCTAGTCCTGACAGTGCCAGCATCCCATATGGTTCTGGTTCAAGTCTCGGCTACTCCACTTCTAATCCAGCTCCCTGCTTGTGTCCTGGGAAAGCAGGAAAGGATGGCTCCAGGCCTTGGGCCCCTACACCCATGTGGGAGACCTGGAAGAAGTTCCTAGAATCTACTCAGCTTTGGCCATTGTGACTGTTTGGAGAATGAACCAACAAATGGAATCTCTCTGTCTCTCCCTCTCTGTAAGAGAGAAAATCAGAGAGAGAGAAAATCAGAGAAAGCTTGTGGCCGGAGCCTGCACTGGCCTTGTGTGGCTGTTGTCTGAGCGGCTAGGCAGCCTGTGAAGCTGAGCCTGGCACTTGTTGGCAGGATTTGTGTTGAGGTTTAGCTACAGCTTGACAACTGCTCACTCCAAGCTGTGGGTATTCCCGTCCAGTCACGTGTTCTGGAGCTGTATGTGGGCAGATGGGTTTCCTCCATCTCTGCAAAGCCCATCCTGAGTACGCAAGGGTCCCAGGTCTGTCAGATGACAGTTGTCAGTGGCCCCTCCTGGGCAGTGGGGCTGTCCCTCTGGGGCCCTTTCTTCGCCTCAGCACTTCTTGATTCCCATCTGTGGACTCCCTGGGGGACACTGTGAAGCCTGCACATCCACTCATGCAGAGACTCATTGTGTTCAAGACCAAATGTCTCAACCTGGAGCGGCTGGGAGTGGACTCATGCATCATAACTCCCTCTGGTCAGTATCTGCTCTGACAGACAAGGAAATGCGAAAACATAATTTTCCAAGAGGTATAAAACGATCACGTGTCAGAGTTCTTACTTGATTTGTGAATTAATGAAGGACCGGTAAGGTGTTAAAACTTGTTGAAAGCAACACCTGGGGACAGACACATAAGCCGACAGGAATGCTGGAAAAATGTGCTGATAATGACAAAACTGCCAAGTTTGAAGTGATCTCCACAGGATGGAAATCGCCTGTGTTTCCACTGCTTCAGCTGCAGTCCTGGGGAGCTGCTGGTCACCGGTACAGGAGCAGGACTGCGAGTTGCAGCTCGCACAGAGGACACCCAGCCATCATCCTACCCAGCTCAGCATCTTTGACATGCTTTCCCGATCAAGGCCTGACACAAACACCCACAACACGGAGCCTGGGACAGGATGCCATGGAGCAGGGTGCCCCCAACAAAGGGGCAGATGCCCCTGAAACACATGGGAGCGCAGGGTCGCCTATCAGCTGTGTACCCTGTGAATACCCAGTTGTCCCTCAGCCCATAGCCAGGTCTCTGGCTAGGCTCAAAGAGGTTGCCCCTTCTACTGGCTCCCAAAGGCAGGCAAAC